CTGTTCATTGAAAAACAAAACAACAACAAAAAATAAAGTGTTGTTATGAAGACCGTGGCTTGTCGTGTTTAGGTGATGGCGGTAAGTTTAGTTACACAGTGGTACCAGAGTTGAAGAATTCCAACAGACAGCCGACATGACTCATTCAATCAAAATCCGTTAAACAAACTCCCGTCAGCCACCAGTTGCTCGGCACGTGACCCGAAGCTGTAATAATGTCTTCACAGTGGAAAGAATCGATCCGGACCCTTCCACAGGTTTATTAACTAAGAGGGGCGACACATGTGGAAGGTGTGCGTCTGTGTGTGTGTGTCGGTCGTGGTGGGTGGGGTTGCTGCTCATCAGAAAAGAGCGGAAACAGTTTAGGACCTGGGGATTGTTTTGGGCAGAGGAGCGAACTGCTTATAAAAAGAGGTGAGTGTCTACAGAAAAGGAAATTCTGACAGTGCATAAGCAAGCCATTGCATTTCATTTTCTACTCGCTTAGGCGGCAACAGTAACTCCAGCCCCCATACCGTAATCATTTACCTTAATTCTCAGCCCGAGGCCTGTACAGTACCACCCCCCCCCAACCACGCCCTTATGCAGACATCTAATTGTTGATGAAATACGTTAAAAATTGGTTTTTATACACGCAGTGTTTACTTAGACGCATCCAGCCGAAAGATTCCTTTCATTCAAGCTTGAGAAATAATGACTGTACACTTTATTGTGTCTGTAAGTAGACGGTCGGACGATTACATCTGAACAGACAGCCTGAGACGTGCACACTCAAAAGACATTGGCAGTAAGTAATATCAGCTTACGGCTAATGTAACGTATGTGTAAATTTTACCTATGCATGTACAAGCAAATCAAACAGTTGTCTGTAGTTGTGATGGATGCAGCAAACCTGAAATTCATTTCGTTGAGTATTTAAGTGACTTGGTGGAATTCACGATGGGAAAAAAAAACCCCTTTCCCCGTTTGGTTTATTTTATTTTATGGCATATCAACACATCGATGGGATTTTTAATGACGACAAGAATTTTAAGATAGGTTCGTGTGTATAGAATAAGTATTCTTTGTAAAAAATAAGTTTATAGATCAGATTTCATTGGCGTATTTTTTTGTAAAGAAGGTTTGTAAAGATTCTGGTTGGTTTATTTTTTTACGGTATATCAACCTCAATGGTTTTTTTTAATGACGACAAGATTTTTAGGATAGCTTCGTATGAATAGAATAAGTATTATTTGTAAGAAATCATTTTATAGATCTGGTTTCATTGAAGTATTTTTTGTAAAGGGGTTTGTAGAGATTCTGATTTGTTTATTTTCTTTTACGGTATATCAATCTCAATGGTTTTTTTTTTAATGACAAGATTTTTAGGATAGGTTTGTATGAATAGAATAAGTATTATTTGTAAGAAATCATTTTATAGATCAGGTTTCATTAAAGTATTTTTTGTAAAGAGTTTTTTTTTTGTTGTTGTCGAGAAACAAATGTATTGCTTGTAATATTTTTTTCCTTCCAAAAATCTACTGCTGGTATTTTATACTATACAAATCTATTTTTATACTTTTATTTTGTTTTGATCCCAGTTTGGGGGTTGACTATTTGCCCATAGCTGGAACTCGAACAGGTGATACCACCCTGGGTCTGTTTGGATGTGAGAATAACATCAATTAAAAGATAGTTCTACGTTCTTCAAAATCTTCGGATCAAAAACCTTGCTGCCGGATGTAGTTTATAGTCATACCAGGAACGACCCTTTGCGTTTTATTTATATATCTATCGAAAACGGTCTTTATTATTATTGTATGTGATTCTTTAATCGCTTACTATGTTCGGTAATAGTTGAATATTGACCCTGTCATGGGTATGACGATAAACTAAATCCACGTCCTGGGTAAGACGATAAACTATGTCCGACAGCAAGGCCCCTGATCAGGTTTTGAGAAGCGTGGAACCACCTCTTAATTCCTGATGTTCCCAAGTCCACCATGAGCCGGGGTGGTAGTAGCACCTGTTAGGATCCCAGCTATGGACAAATAGTTAAGCCCTGAACAGGGGTTAAAACACTATGAAAGTGTAAAAATAGGTTTTAATACCAGAAATACTTTTTTGTAAAAATATTATTACCAGCAATACATTTTTGAAAAAAAAAATATTACCAGCAATAAAAATATTATCAACATTAAATACTCCATTGAGGTGTTGATATGTCGTAAAAGAAACCAAACCAATCCAAACCTAAATATTGACCAATAATACTTATAGTGTTCAATGGCTTGATATGACATTTCACAATACAATTATTAATGGCCAAGATTTAACTATCGACGATCAATATTTACCTATGGACCCTATTATAAACGACCAATATTTACCGATAGACCCTATTATAAACGACAAATGTTTACCTATAGACCCTATTATAAACGACAAGTATTTACCTATGGACTCTATTATAAACGACTAATATTTAGCTACAGACCCTATTATAAACAACAAGTATTTACCTATGGACCCTATTATAAACGACCAATATTAATTGTCGTTTATAATAGGGTCTGTAGGTAAATATTGGTCGTTTATAACTGAGTCCAATATTTACCTATAGACCCTATTATAAACAAGTTTTTACCTACAGACCCTATTATAAACGACCAGCATTTACCTATAGACTGTATTATAAACGACCAGTATTTACCTATAGACTCTATAATAAACGACCAATATTTACCTATAGACCCTATTATAAATGACAAGTATTGAACTGTAATGCAAGATAGGTTCGCCTATTGAACTGATGTATTGCTTTATTCCGGTTCATTCTCATAAATTATTTTTATTCTCTTTTACAGTAGTAGCCCCTAACGTCTTAGTGACATTATTGCCTTGCTTGGGGTGAATTGATTAACACAAATACATGTATTCTTCTTCTTTATGTGCCGTGTCGTCTATTGTTGTAGACAATCATGGTTCTCCCTAACTTTCTGTCGTCTTTAAACCTTTATAAACTTTATTTTTCTGTTATTTCACCTAAAACTTGTTTCACCATTAATTTACTCAAGCCCATTATGCAATGCGTTGTTTTCTTCTGCTGCGCTTGCTGCCAATCTTTCCTGATTTTCCAAGCCCTCTTTTCTCGTTATGTGTCTCTGTAATTTCTGCTGTCTCTTCCGGATGTCGTGTATACGTTTCCTTTTTTTGTTTCCATTTTCTCTAAAATAGCTAAACAATGATCGTTCATAATAGGGTCTATAGATAATTGATAATCGTTTACAATAGGGTCTATAGATAATTGACGATCGTTTATAATAGGGTGTATAGGAAAATATTGGGCGTTTATAATACGGCCTAGAGGTAAATACTAGTCGATTATAATAGGGTCGATGGGTAAATATTGGTCGTTTATAATAGTGTCTATAGGTAAATATTAGTCGTTTATAGGTAAATATTAGTCGTTTATAATAGGGTCTATATGTAAATATTGGTCGTTTATAATAAGGTCTATAGTTTAATACTGGTCGGTTATAATATATAGGTAAATATTGGCCGTTTATTATAGGGTCTATAGGTAAATATTGATCGTTTATAATAGGGTATATAGCTAAATACTGGTCGGTTATTATAAGGTCTATAAATAAATATTAGTCGTTTATTATAGGGTCTATAGCTAAATACTGATCGTTTATAATAGGGTCTATAGGTAAATATTGGTCGTTTATAATAGGTTCTATGCGTAGATATTTATTGTTTATGAATAATTACTTGTTTTATTGACAGATAAATACTCTTCAGGTAAGTACTGATAACACACGGTAAAGAGATTACAAAAAGCTTTACAGAAGGAGAGCGAATAGAAGAGACTAAGCATAAACTACAAGAAGATAAGAGAGACAAGGGAAAGCAACACATGGCATACCTAGCGGGCTTAAGCAAGTGGATGACAGAACGTGGCAAGGGACGAAACTTATTGAGGGATACAACGCATAGGGAGAAGTGGAGAGCCATCATCAACTACTTCCTGAAAGAACCCGGCACATAAAAAGAAAAGAAAGAAAAAATCCCAGTTTATAATTGAGTCTCCTTACATCCATATCACGTTGAAACAAAATTAAGCAATATCGAGCCTTCTCAGTATCTATATGGGTGACCGCTTAGGAGTGTCAGGTGCTGTAAGCTTGAATGTGTGGGGTGTAATGGATAACGACTAGTAATTTAGAATAGGACAGATAAGTTTCAATTCCAATTATATTCACTAACGCACAAATACCCTTGAGAAAGGTATGAATCCATTTCTCCCCCAACTATGGATTAATTAGTAACTTATTCAAGATGATCTTCGTCCTCTTTAACCTTCTAAATTCTGTCCTGGAATAACCATGTGCATCACAGGTTTCACGTACGATTTCATTTTCAAGTCATTATTCACTGCCGTAGCTGAAACTCCTCTCTCAGGTGGCAAATATCTTATGGACTGAGTTGGATCTTTTCTAATGGATCTCTTCAGCTCTAACATAAAATGATGATTCCTCTTGCTGCTGTGACCTCCTGATCCTGTCTACTGCTCCATTTTTTTTTTCTTGAATGGACTTTAAAGACGGAAGCTGGTGTAATGTTTAGCAAGCTTGTCCCACAAGAACAATTACGACTGAGTAGTGAGTTCGATCCTCACTGGGTGCCCCACTCTTTCGGCCTTATGCCACATCTAAGCTACGCTTGGAAAATCACTATCTGTACTGCTTTGGTACCAACTTCACACGTCTAATTCACTTCTCTTTACTACTAACAATGAAGATAAATTCACACCAGTCATTCTCTCGCCATTTCTAACCATTAGACAAAGTTCACATCCCTAATTCTCTTATTCATAGTCCTAAACATTAGGCCAGTTCACACCCCTAATCATTTTCACCGTATTGCTAACCATTAGGCCAACTCCATACCTCTTAATTTTATTCTCCGTTCTGCTAACCATTCAGCCAGTTTTCCACCTCTGATTTTTTTTATTA